ATTACAGGCTTAAGCCACCAGCAACTATGAGCTCTAGTTTTAATCTCTCTAAGTGCTTATTTTTATCTAGGATAAACCTCCCTCCTTCCTGTGGGTGATAAGTATTGGTACTAGCTGACTTTGGAAAACTTCTCTAGGGAAGAAGGTCTATAATAGTTGTAATTATTACCAAATCTTTACTACAACAGGTTAAGTATTTCTCATTGAAAATGTTTAGGATGTAATGTTATGGATTTGGGATAGGGGAGAATCTGGGAATATTTCTCTCATATATAATGATATATCTTGCTGATGGGACCCAAGTCTAAACATGAAATTTATTTATGTTGCACACACACATACATATAATCATGAAGTCATTTATACATTATTTTTAGCGTGTCTTTATGTTGAACCCATTCTATGAGGTCAGTGGAATTTTCTACTTGTTGTCACTTCAAAAGTTTCAGCTTTGGGAACATTTCAGATTTTCAGATTAGATAAGTTCATGCTACACCAATATTCTTTCTGGTGCCAGGTATTGTCTTAAATGTTCACCAGTATCATATTTCAATCAAACATCTACAGATCCCATGAGAAGGAATACTATCATTACCCTTATCATATCAAGGAAGAAATTAAATGCAAAAAAGATGAACAATATGGCTGACTCATGTAACCTGTAAGGGTTTGGAGCTGGTACCTGAGACAGAACCAAAGCCATGACATGCAATGCTCCCTCACATGGGATGGGTACAAGTTGTGTGTCCTTTTTCTTATTTCTTCTTAGCGGATAAAGTAATGATTCTTTTTGTTGTTGTTGTTATGAGGCTTGAACTCCACCACTTTGACTCATAGCCCCACTTCCAGTTTTCTGGTGGTTAACTGGAGATAAGAGACTCATGGACTTTCCTGCCTAGGCTGGCTTTGAACCCCAATCCTCAGATCCCAGCCTCCTGAGTAGCTAGGATTGCAGGCATGAGCCACCAGCACCCAGCTGCAATGATTCTTTTTTCCTCTAAACCTCGGTGTCTCTACCAACATGGTGGCCCAAACCCAAAGCACTCTTTTCTTGACTGACTGGCTTTAAAACCCTTCAGGACAGGGGATGGGGAGAAGAGAGGGTCAATGGCCATTTCCTGCCTAAGACTATAACCTAGCTGAAAGCCAAGAATAATCAAGGCTGTGCCCAGCTGAGCACTCGACACAAAGCCTCCCAACCCTACGTCAGAGAATCACCATTCCCACTGTGCAGATGAGAAAGATGGAGGCAGAGGCAAGCTCAGGACTCACCAAGCCCAGGGCTCAGGGAGCTGGGAAATGGATTCTTCAGTGGCTGTCTCTGGTGGACAAACAGAAAACCCAGGGAGGAAGCATGGGCGCCATGCACTCTAATGTGAGATCCTCAGCCTGGGCTCAGCTACTCCGCAGCGCAACACTCTGGCAAGAAACTTGGCTTTGGGATGTTTTTTTTTTAACAGTTTTTGGTCTGATGTGTTGCTAAAAGTGTTGTTATAAGCAAATAATTAAGTGTTTCCACAAATCGTGTGTGAAGAGGGTAGAGTGAAGTGAAGCCAAAAAAACTTTAAAAAGTCTTTTCTTTTCTTTTTCTTACCCTTGACAAATTGAGTAATGGCCTAAGAAAACGCCTTTGATTTGGGGTCAGCCTGTATTAGAAAATTGGTTAATACGATCCAGCCTAATCCTTAATTTCACGTGATCCTCTCCAGAGAGTCCACGAAGTTGCAATGGGGTATATGTAATTCAACAATCCCTAGAGTTCAGGAGGCCTCCAGCCAGCAGAGCCAAGGATAAAAGTCATTCAACTTCAGCCCTTTGTTGAATGGAAATGAGCTTTCTAAAGACTGCTTGGCAGGCAGTGACTAGCAAGAGACAAGTCAATGACTGAGCTCCCTGAGTGTTAAAAACGAGTGTTTGAAAAGGAGAGATCAAGGCATCCCCACCGCTGGTGCCTTTTGAAAGCCAATGGCTTCCCAAGTTTCTTGCAAGGACCCAGGCTCTCCTGAGAATGGAACACTGAAGTCCAAGTCTGAAAAAGCCACCACTAAAGAAAGACACAATGGGGACATTAGAGTAGCCAGCCATGGAGGATGAAAAAAAATGCCACATAATTGTTGGGGACAAAAGAAAAGAGAAAGTAAGGGAAACCAAGTGACAAAAATAAGTAGTGTATTGGGAACCCAGACCACAAGGGTTGCTGTGGAAACTCTTACTATGGGATGCATTCCACTGGGAACCTCTGGTGGGGTACTGAGCCCAGGGAATAATCAGACATTGAACACAGGGTCTGACAGAAACAGCAAAGCAGCCTAACCATTCTGACAAGCTTGGTCTTTGCTGAGGTTCTCAAAGGTAAACAAGTCCATGTACTACAGGCCTAAGCAGAAACACAAGGTAAAGTCTTCTCGTGGGATCCTCATATAAAGACGGGAGCTTGGTTTAGAGTTTCTGAAGTCATATCTATCTCCTCAGCCAGAAATCAGGACCATCAGTCATATTGGGTACCAATGAAGAACAAGTAAGCTGAGGACTGGAAAATGCTTGTTTTATAAGGAAACACAGAATGCTGGTAAAGGAAGCTGACAGATCTATAAGCTTAAGAAGAAGGGGAATGGTCAAAGTGGTCTCAGTGCCATTTCTTGGAGATCCACAATGTATAATATTGAAAAGCATGAGAGGTATGAAAGGCATCTAACTTCCTTTAAACCTACAGTTTCCTTAACTTACATGACCACAAAACTTATTCATGGAGTATCTCTGCAGAGTTAGAAAGCAATATAGATTATTATAGTACCTATGTAGGGAGAAATCATTGCTTTGGTGTTTTTCTGTCAGCACCAAACCAAAGTGAGTTCCTTAAAAAGAAAAGAACTAGCTGGGTGCAGGTGGCTCATGCCTGTAACCCTAGCCCCTCAGGAGGGTAAATCTGAGGATCGCAGTTTGAAGCCAGACCAGGCAGAAAAGTTCCCGTGAGACTCTTATCTCCAATGAACCACTCAAAAACTGGCAGCGGCACTGTGACTCAAGTGGTAGAGCACTAGCCTTGAGCGCAAAGAGGCTTAGGGACAGTGCCCAGGCCCTGAGTTCAAGCACCTCCCCCCCTCCACACACCCCCCCCCCCCACAGTGTTGGAACAACAATAACAAAAATCTCTTCCCCAAAATCTGTGAATGAGATGACTGATCAGATTTCCTATCCCTCGTAGACAATGGAATCCCAAGGGAAGCTAAGTTTTGTAGAGAGAGAAGAGCTGGAGAGCCAGGGGCTGCTGGCCTGCTTTCCATGTAACTCACTTCTCCACAGCCTCGTAGGGGGCGTGGTCTGTCCCATGATTCCCATTTTAGAGATGAAGAAGTGAAGGTGCATAGAGCTTAAATGATAACATGCCTTGGGCCCTCTTGGTAGGTGTGGGTATGATTGTCAAAATTCAAGCTGAACGCTCTTAACCACCAGTGTCATGAAACAAGGTTCAGGGAGGCATCTAAAGGCTCTGAATTCTGAGTAGACAGAGGGCCATCCAGGAGAATGGCGGAATGCTGAGACACAGCAAGAGACTCGCCACCACAAAACAAACAGAAAGCCAAGATCTAGTTGGGCACGTGCAACACGTGGCTGTAACCAGGTTACAATACACAGGTCATTAGTGAGCTGGAGTCATTGCTTAAATGGATCCAGCTTCGTTGGGAATTGCTCTTTGCTTTACTTTATAATTTAAATAGATGGAAGAATATTGTGACTGTACAGATGAGGAAAGATTTTAGCCACAATTCAGGCCACACCATGAGATTTAAAATTAAACAAAAAGAAGTCACATCACATCTTAACTGAAAATGTCAACTGGCAAAGAACACGGGAGCCCTCCTCCACCCCCAAATATGCAGTTCCTCTTGCCTACGACACACTGTGCCCCAGGCATTCCCAATGACACCCTCAAAGGGCCTTCTAACATGTTCCTTCTGGACAGGCCACAGCATGGTCACTCTGCCTCACAGGCACAAACACTTCTGTCAATCCAAGATATTTCTCAATCACATTTCTTGATCGCAACACAATGTAAAAGCCTAAATGCCTTTCTTGCCTTGTCTAGTTGATTCGACCTTGTATGCAATAGAGTTCACAACACAATTCTTGGCTGGCATTCCAAGAGAGGAAATAACACTTGTCCTAGATGCTTTTAAATCTTCTGCCTTCTTGGATATCGAACTTCATCCTGCCAAGCCCGGAACACCACCAAGCCATGTTCTACAAGGATTTTTGCATGTATGTGTGCCCATACTGGGGTTTGAACCCAGGACCTGGACGCTGTCTCTTAGTTTTGCTCAAGGTGCTTGAACCACAGCTTCCTTTCCAACTTTTTCGCAGGTTAACTGGAGATAAGAGTCTGACAGACTTTCCTGCCCAAGCTGGCTTTGAACTGTGATCCTTAGATCTCAGTCTCTTGAATAGCTAGGATTATAGGCATGAGCCACCAGCACCCAGTCTAAAAGGATTCTTTATGTTTGCAAGACAACATCAACAGATTACTTAAAAGAAACTAAAAGGCTTTCCTTGTACAAAGTTGAAGGTGGACTGACCAAGACTGCTGAATGCAATTTTGCATTGAAATATAGTTTCATATTTCAGAGTCACATAGATACATGCAGCTGGTTAGATTTATAGAAGGCTGAGCTCCCAAGACTTCACAAAGCGAATGGCATCCATCAAATTTATTTCCTTGGGGAATCCTCTCAAACATGGAGAACGTGAAGGCCCAGACCATTAAACATCAAAAGAATGTCCTAAATGGTCATTAAAATTCTATTATATGTTCTTTCCTTTTTCTTCAGAGAGCAGATTACATTAATTCAATTGAGAATATTGTAAGTATCAAAAGCTGACCGTGGGGGGCAGGCAGTTAGCTACAAATTAGCTCTTAATATTTGCAGACATCTGCTCAATGACACCTATGCAAACCACGAACAGTGAACTCAACCGGACATGGGGGTGGGACACAGACTTACCAAGCCAGCGCAGGTAGACACAGCAACAGAGGAGAAGCTGTCATTTCTGATAAATCCCTGATAGAAACATCGCTGCCCCGTAGGTTCCCAAGTCTCTGTAGCACCGTCTTTTCCAAGTACCTGAACAATAAAGTGACTGCTCAAAATCGCCGAGGGTTTCAGTTCTAAGTGTAGTTCCTGTCCAAATGCTGAAAACCGGTAGTGCAGGGAGCTCCTGGCACCCTGAGTCGATCTCTTTTTCCTGCCGTTGTGCAAAATGTCATGCGAAATGTAAGACCCGCCCGAGTCCACTTCTACCGGCGTGACAAAGACGTAATCTGCAATGGGAAAAGTTGAGCTGTCAGCACCCAGAACCCACAGTGCCAAATGGTCACTTCGTGACAGGCTGGCCAAGAAAATAGGGACAGCCCAGTGATCTTCCATCCTATTGCTATGTACCTAGAGAGAACAAGACTTCCGAATAGCCCAGCCAGACAAGCACCTGGCAGCATCTGCAATTAGCTCTAGGACCTAAAGTCCAAGCCCAAGTATGATGCATTTTTCTAGAACACTTACAGAAAATACCACAACACAGTCTGTTAGAAGAGAGGTTGACGCTTCCTACTTATCCACCATAGATCCGTATGTACAATTATACTATGCTCATTGGGGGAGATAAATTTAATATAAAATCACAAAGGTAAACTGATTTTTACTTCAAGGGGATCAACAGCTTGGTGTTTAAAATGAATTGGGAGCCAATGTCGATTATTTGGATAGGATTTAATTCGCCAAGGGTAACTCATTCGCAAGCAACAGCCATTTCTAGGTTGCCGATACTATTTACACAGCAGGAACAAACTTTCAGTGCATCTTGCCATTTGTATTTTCCTACCAGCTCTTCCAGGGAAAATCTGGTTCCATCACAAGCCTCAAACACGGCCTCATGCATAAAAATACCCCAGAATTTTCAGAACCAGGTTGGAGAGTCTGATGTTGAACCTTGCTCAGACATGTCCAAGGGGGCGTGGCTGAGCTCGGGACACCTGGAAAGACATGTTGAAAGCCACCTTCCCTCGCTGCTCCCCAGAGCACCCCCAATTGCTGTATGTTCTAAAGGGGGAGGTGGGGAGCTGAACAAGTCTGAGAGAGCCACACCAGCACATTCTCTTTCTTTTACTAAACACTGAATTTGGAGAACATCTTCCTCCCCGCCTCCCCCGGTAATGATTTAGAATATGTCCTAGTCACACTTAACCAACGCTCTGCATTTCGCTTCTCCAAGCACAGAACTGGAAAGTAATTTGGAAAGTGTTTATAAAGATTCTGAACAAATAAGAGGCACGTTTGAGTCACTTCGGTTCTTGGTTACTGAGAAGAGGGAGGGAGGGGAAAAAAGAAGAAGAAAAAGCAGGAGGAATTTCCATGTTTTCCAAAACAGTCAACAACAATCAAAAACAAAATAAAAAGCTACAGGGTACAGAAACTCTGTAGCTACCAGAGATCAATGTTATTGATATCAATGATATAGATCAATCTCAATGATATTCTAATTATACTGAGGTTGGGGGTGGGGAATTCGGTGACAATCATATTGCATGGTTGTCTTCTGTCTCTGCCCCATCTGTGATTTCTATTGATTGGACAATGCTCATCCTTACATCCTTTATTCCTGTCTCAATTGTTCTCCGTGCTTCTCTCCTTCAGGTGGTTATCTTATATAACTGGCATCCATATTTTTTTCAATAACTGAGAAAGGAAAAAAATTAAAAAAGCTTTTCCCTTCTGTCAACCTGAGGGGAAAAGACACCTGAGCAGGGTGTATTTCACATCTCTTAAACAAATATTCTCCAATATATTACTTTGCAGAGATGTAGCTTTTGATTAAACACAGGGTTTTTTTTTTTCTTAATAGAAAGCCTACCTCCTCCCTCTACCAAAGTAAAACCTAACCGACTACAAAAGCCATGTCTGACATACGGTCCAGACAAGAGTTTCCACCGTAAGCTGTTTCTTACAGCTTTGTCCCAAATCCTCTGAAATTCTGCCTGCTCTTAGTTGGGAGGCTTGTGGAAGCCTCAGCCACACGCCCCACACACCTGCTATGTACAAGTTTGCTACCAAGGGAAGATTAAGTCCGCAGGCTGTTGGGAAGCGCAGTGAGAGGTATCCTGTCAAAAGTCATCCCATTCACTACTCCAGGAACTGCCCCAAGAGGAGGACCTCAGAGATGGAGACTGGAATGGAAGCATTCTTCAGGCCTGATGTGGTGGTAGGGGTGGGGGTGGGGGGAAGGTGACTGAGAAACCTCAGCCTCTGATTGGACAAAAATGATCATTTTGACCCATGGATAATATTCAGGCTTCTCTTGCCCTCTCTGTCACCCAGAGTCGAGCAACCTTTTTGTACAATTCCACCTGGGGGAGGGGGAGAGGAGAGGGAGAGGGAGGGGAAATCCTAGTAGTTGGCTTCTGTCCCCATCAAGAGTAATCTTGCAAAGATCAGAAAGGAAGAGCCAAAGAATCCAGGTTGGAATAATAAGGTTTGGGGTGTTTTTTTTTTGTTTTTTGCTAGACAGGATGAATGAATCAGGCATCGGCTGGTGGAAACATACATACATACACACATATATACATGCATACATACATACACACACACACACACACACAGTGCAAACCGAGGGATCCCCTTCTCCATGGGGGAGTTGATAAGCAGAAGTGTGCGGCAGCAGATGCAGCCTGCCAAGCCCCCAAGCTCCCGCTGCACTGCCGTCTAGGAGAAGGCCACCTGTGGGCATGGGGTGATCCCCCCAGAGTTGCCAGAAGGAGAGAGTGAGGAGGAAGAGGAGGGTGGGGAGCGGAGTCTCCCAGTTCCCACCCCACCGGCAGTGGTTAGGGTCGGCGGGCCTTTCCAAAGAGAGGGAAGAAATGAGACTAGCAAGTGCCTCCACCTGTGTCCTCTTCCTAACTTCTCACCGCCCTTAGGGGTCTGTCTGTCGGTTGTCTGTCTGTCTGTCTGTCTCTGAACAGAACTAGCCATCTGGGAAACAGGGAGAGGATTTTTTTTTCGGTGGTGGATGGTTTTCCCGCTGCGTTCTGGGACCCGCAGCCTGAGGCCCCGATCCACCCGCGTGCTGCGTTCTCGGTCCTGGCCCCACGGGCGCGCCGGGGGCCCGCGCGGACGGCGCACACCTGCTGCCCGCGCGCCTCCACCTTCAGCCGGAGAGAGGGGCAGACAAAGGGGGGCGGGGCGGGGGGCGGAGGGCGGGAGGGGGGCGCAGAGCAGATACGAACCCGCGTTGAAGCCGCCGTGGCCGCCGCCGCTGCTGTCACCGGCCCCGGCCGCGGCGACCCAGGCACCGCCCAGGCAGCCCAGCTGCAGCGCCTGCGAGGGGGAAAAGTGACATCGCGCGCGCGCGCGGGTCAGCGGCGCGGCGGGGTTGGCACCGGGCGGGCGTCCCCCCCACCCCGCTCCCCGGGGCTCCCCGCACGGGGGGGGGCGTCCGCCTCCCCCTCCCCCGGGACCCCCGCCTCCTCCTCCCCTCCTCCCACCCCCCCCCACGGGGTGGCACCTGCCTGGGCCAAACGCCCCAGTCCCGCGGGGCCGCAGGGCGGGCCGGAGCCCGCGGCGGCGGCGAGGGCGCCGGCGAGCAGGAGGGCGCACGCCATGGTCAGGTGCGGGCGGCGGGGCGCGGCGGGCGCGGCGGGCGCGGCGCGCGGGCGGCGGCGGCGGCGGCGCGCATTCTCCCCGGCGGGGGCCCCGGGAGCGCGGCGCCCCAGGTGCGGCGCCAGGTGGGAGCCGCCGCCGCCGCAGCCGCCCGCCGCAGCCGGGCCGGCCGGGCGGGCGCGCGCCGTGCGGGTGTGGGGTGTGGGGGGCGGCTGCGGCGGCTCCAAACAGGGGACCGCACGCGGGGTTGGTGGGGGGAGCGCTTCCCACCCCCCCGCCACCCCACCCCGCCCCGGGCTGCGGCGAGATCGTCCGGCAGCGGCGGGGAGACCCTCCCGACGCCCGCCCGTCCGTGCGTCCGCCCGGGTCGGTGTCTGAGGCCGGGGGTGGGTGGCGGGTGGGTAGGGGGTAGGGGGTCCCCTCCCTCCCCAGCGCGCCGGGCTCAGCGCCCGCCTCTCCTCCGCGCCCTGATTGGCGACCGGGCTCGTCTGAGCTCCCGTGCTGCGGCGAGGGCGTGGGGTTCCGAGCTGAGGGAAGGGGAGGGAGGCAACACCGCCGAGAGAGAGAAGGGGGGGGGCTGGGTCAGGCCTGGGATGAGCGCCCCCCTCCCCGGGGAGGGGGTGGCGGGACGGGGCGGGCTCAGGTAGAGGACGTCGCCACGTTTCCTCCGGCCCCTGCCGACTTCGAGTCCCGGCGGGACCGAGAGTGGGGAGAATCTAAAGTTCAGCTCCTAAGCGCCAGGCCCGGCCAGGGAGCCTCCACACCCCCCCCCCCCCATGACAAAGTAGGGCTTGCGAGCATGCACCGTACCCACCCACCCACCCAGGATCCTGTCCCGGGCGGCTAGAGGGCTACAGAGTTGGCGCCAGGAGCCAGCACCCCCCCCCACACCCCCCACGCACACCTCGGTCCTTCTCCTGGGTGCGGGGGGGGGGGGGCGGGGGGAACCATGCTGCCAGTTCTGCACGATTGAATCTTAAGCCCTGGACACCCAGATCCACCACCATCAGCCATAACACACAGAGCCTGTCAGCGCCCTCCTGTACAACCAATGGCGCTGTGCCGGCCATCCATTCAATTCGTGTATTTGATTCATTTGTCCACACTTTCTCCCAAGGCAGTGCCGGGGGCGCAAATAACTTCCGTGGATAACTCAAAAACAGTAATGGAATGAATGAAAAGGATCCCAAACCCCATCACGGGAGAGCATCATAAGGCTCCTAGCAAGGTCATTACTGAATGTAATATACATGCTCAGGCAGATGAGAAGGGGGAGAGGCGGCTGAGCGAGGGAAGAGAACAAATGTGCACGCAAAGCATCTCTTAGGAGCTGACATGGAAAAAGAAAACAAAAAGACTAGGTCAGCTTTGTTAAGGAAGAGGACTCAGCGTTTGCCTTGATGGGCGAATGACCAGCTGAGCAAGAGGCAGCCACTGCAGGCGGTTGGATGGAAGGATTTGCAAGGCTGTCGAGGAACTCAGATTTCAGCCAATGTATGGTTCTGTGTGTGTGTGTGTGTGTGTGTGTGTGTGTGTGTGTGTGTGTGTGTGTGTGCGCGCGCGCGCGCGCGCGCAGTACAGCATCATGCTGGAGATGGCCACTGTGGGTCTTAGGGTTCCTATGGAATGCAGGTCCTGAACTCAACAGGGGCCAGACTGGAGCACATTAGGCCACTGTCCCCTGCTAGCATCAAGGAGTACAATAATGAAGACCTTGGACCTCGTGATGCCAGCGAAGGTAGACATACTGCCCTGCTCAGTTCTACAAGGTCTGTGCCAAGCCTAGAATGAATGACAGATTGGCCTATGGATCAACCTAAGTAGTCTGTTTGAGTGCAACAGGGGACAGGTAAAGAAAGCTAGGCTGTAGAGTCAGAACGTGACACCTCCTCCTGGTGAGAAATCACCCACAATGCTAGTTTGAAATGCAGATTCCCTGGGTCACATCCATCGCAATTCTGATGTGTAGCATTGGTGTAGGCTCACATCTGCATTTGTAGGAGGCATCTACGTGCAGGGGACCCAGGTCACTATTTAATGTGACATCAGGGAAGAGCTGGACATGAAGGGAAACAACATCAAAAACCCTAACTGTGCTTGAAATTCTGTCACCAAGCAGCATACTGGAAAAAAAAAAGGGGGGTGAGGGGTGGGACTGGAGACAACAGCCCAGCCATCAGGAAACCTGAAAGGAAATCAGAGGGGTGGGTGCTTTGTCCAAACTCGTCTGAGAGTAACCTTGTGCCCTCCCTAATTCGTGTGTGTGTGTGTGTGTGTGTGTGTGTGTATGCACGCTCCAGTGCCGGGGCTTGAACTCAGGGACTCAGGGCTTTCCATTTTTCTTGGTGGATCACGCTGAGCCATGACCTGCCCCCTCCCCTACCCCATTCCCCATTTCTTTCCCCTATCTCTACTACTAAAGGCTTGTTTGCCTGACCATGAAAACAAGGCTACTTATTTGCACACACAAACTGAAGGCAAGTTCTAAAGCATTCTGAATCAGGGAAGAGTCTAAAGGGCTGGAAGATGCCAGGAAGGGTAAATGACTTCTGTTTTCAGTGATCATTTTCCCCTGCTCCCCTCCCCATTATGATCCTATGGAGTACAGGGTTGTACATCAGCGCTCGGTAAGTATCCGGCTGGGAGGGGGCTAGCGGTGGAGACTGGGAACCCCTGTTAATCAGAAGCACCTGGAAGGTTGTTAGCCATACTCATTCTTGGCATCCCCAGGAATATTCCAATTAAGTCGGTCTGGATTCTGGTGTAACTAAATATATTATCAAACAATCATTGTGACCCACTCTCCTTCTATTTCCACTTGGGTGCCAATACTGCTTTCTTCAAGCCAATAGGATTTAAAGCTCCAGCGGTGTTTCTCTCTCCTTCCTTCTTCATGGAGGAAGCCAAGTATAGCACAAAGGATACAGGGTAGACCTGGCACCGAAATCCTTGCTCTAGTACCAGCGCTGAGTGATAAAGACTTTGGTGTTGATTTGTTGTATCTTTTGTTGCGTTTTTGGCTATATTTATTCATAGTTCGTTTGACTTGAGTTTGGGTGGGAGAGGGTGGTCCGCTTTCTCAACTTTCCCTTTCCCTTCTTCTGAATTCAAAGCATGTCACTTTTATGCTGACAGAAATTATTGGCCCAAGAGGTGGGACCTGGATGCAAATGTGACTGTTACAACCTGGGGTGTGCTGGATTGCATTTCCCATCACCCCCTCTCCCCGACCCCCAGCAGGGCAGAGCCATTCCCAGTGCCCAGCCTGGCTTGATATCTTCTCCTCTCTTAGACCCATTCTTACTTTGGATTGAAGAACTGAGTAAGAGCAAAAAGGTATTCCACCTAGAGCCATGAACTGCATTGCCCTTTCTAATTTCCTGATTTCCTTGTGTCCCTCCATTTCCTCAACATCTTTCCAGGCACTCGTGCTACCTCACGAATTCCGTTACATGGACAGTGGCATGCTAAGGTGAACACATTACATCCACAGCCACTTCCCGCTCACTCCTCACCAACCTACTGCTTGGCTCCTAAGCCCAGCCAGGCAAAAGGGCCTTAAGGTAGAAGTGCAAGAAATGTTCTAAATGAATGAGTGGATATATAGAAACAGAAAGGCAGAGATTCTACTCCATTCACAAAAACAGAATCATTCAAAATGTCAGAGAGAATGAGCCAACCCTCGCAGTTATCTTCTTTAAAGAATTGCACCATTTGAAATGATAACTATAAACGCAGACTGACACCATCCTTTTGCTTTTTCAGTCAAGGCTTGCACTCTACCACTTGAGCCACATCTCCACTTCTAGCTTTTTACTGGTTAAGTGGAGATAAGAGTCTTAGGGACTTTCCTGCTGAGGCTGGCTTCGAACTGTAATCCTTAGCTCTGAACCTCCTGAGTGGTTAGGATTACAGGTGTGAGCCTGCCCTCGATAAGCCTCCATTTCCTCACCCACAAGATGGTAAAAATGCTAAGATCACCTTACATGGATGCAGGGTGATTTGTCTTACCAAGGTGGAGGTGATCACCCTGTGAGACGGGTCAGTTCCCCACTATCATTTGAACCCTAACAGACCGTGAACATCAAGCTCAGTGTCAGTGTAGGTGCTGGCAAGTGGCAGTTTTGTGAACCTTCTCTCCCCATCCTTTCTCTTCCATCCTCCTGTGTGCTGTGGTGGGGTATGGGAAGGGTGAGTCTCTGTTCCCAGGGTGCCAGCTGTTGTGATCTGGAGAAACCTCAGCCAATAGGATGTCTACAGATGCAACATTCCCATCTAATTTAGACATTTCTAATTTTAAGCATGCTCCAAGGTCACAGCACCCTTGACTTATGGGCAGAAGCCAAACACCTACCAGGATCTGCCCCTTCCAGACACCCTGCCTTCCCCCATTACACAGCCAGGCCCACTAGATGTGTTGTGTGGGGCTGTGACCCGTCACACAGGCCATTCGTTTCCAGAAGCTGGGGAGCTATTGGGCCCTGGCATTTCCACAATGCTTCAGGGCCCACATTTTAAGAAGAGGATCATTTAAAATCAATGACTGAATCTCAATGCACTTTTTTATTTTGGTGTAAGGAATGACAAAGTCTGAGGTACCTGAGAAATAATAGCAGAAGGTATGGGCGAGGAGTGTATTTCTTTGTGGGATCTATGTGGAGGGGTTCTCATCTGGTTGTCAAGACAGCAAACACTTGGTATTGTTCTTTCTCGGGAGTTCTGTCTTCCTCTGCCAGTAGATGGGATGTCTTGCATTTCAGATGGTTGGGGAGCCCTTTGGAAATGTGTGAAAAGCTCACAATACATGGCCTGAGGCCATCGGAGCCCACTTGTGCCTGCCCAGCGGTGTGGGATGTTTTTATGTGCACTGCAGTCAAAGCTTCCATCTCACTGGACAAAGCGAGGAAGCGCTTCCATGGTGGGTGGCCCCAATTAAACCCTGGGCCTAGAGAGTTTCCGCCCAGGCTGACTGGACCTGGACGTTCGCCAGGGCTGATTAGAG